TAAGCACATTAATTGTGTATGTATAAATACCAAGATGTTATTAATGAAAATACAACTTTCATTCTGATCTCACCAAACCCAATGAGCTATTTCTCTTTGTGCTCTCACAACTGTTTCTTTTTTCTTTTGAGCATCTCTCCAATTTCTTCTTCTTGAGCTTCACATCTTATTTAGATTTTTTACAAATCTTTAATTGCTTCATGTTTCGTTTCGCAATATGGCATCAGAGCGATCTTTATATTCGATTGTTCAAGAATATTTTTGCTGATTCAAATATGGTTCAAAGAAATCTAGATTGATATATTTCCCGACACTTCAACAAATAAAGATCCATGGAAACGATATCTTTCGTTGCAGATTCCTCAAGGAATGAAGAAAACCTAGCCAACCCCTTATATCTCCACTCGAACAAAAACTTGTTGTTGCAGATCACATCGGTGCTGTTAATAGGAAAAAAAATTTCATTCATGGTCTAGATTAATGAAGATGATGCTAATTTCAAAAAACAAGCTCAAGTTTGTCGATGACACTATTCAAGTTCCAGACAAGAATGATCTTCTGTATGAGACCTGGGAGAGATGTAACACAATCGTCCTCTACTGGATCATGAGGTTGTTGTCTCCATTGATCGCTCAAAGCGTAATTCAGATCGATTACACCAAAGACTTATGGAAGAATCTTAACAATTGCTTCACACAAGGAGCTTCGGTAAGAGTATCTAACGATTTTGTAACTAAATACTATATAAAATTGAAAATATTATGGGCAAACTATTGAACTTGCGTCCAACCTGCATGTAAATGTTAATGTGTGAGTAGAAAATAATAAGAAGAAGATGAGGTTATTAGATTCCGTAAGGGATTGAACGATTTATTTTCTGTAGTTAAATCACTTACTTTAATTTTGGAGTCATTACCGCATCTATTGCACTTTTCCAACATGCAATTTCTGCTATTTATTTATAAGCAAAAAGTATGGAAATAGAGTCAAGATTATTAAGGTAGGTAGTGAAAAGCTCATATCATTCTAGAGAATAATCGTTTTGATTTGGAGGTTGCCTAAAATTAGAACGAGTGAATCGACGTGGTAGAGGTGAAGTAGGAGAAAGTGATGCTAGTGATTGAGGAGTCGGACCTGGGGAAAAATGATCAAATTGAGGCATTAAAGACTTATTTTTACTTGTCCCTGATAAATCAGTTTTTAAATTACTCTCAAGATGAATATAATCATTTGAAAATGAAGGCATAAAAAAAAATAGATTCACTATGGAAAGTTGTAGAAAAATGAGAAGAAAAATAATACACATTTTCAAAAAAGGTTACATGATGAGAAATGTTCATTCTTTTTGCTTCAAAATCATAAGAACTATAACCTTTATGTTTGTTACTATAACTAAAATGTTGGATTTTTTCTAATGTGTGGGATTAATGTGGACATTGGTATGCGTATTAAGTTATCAATTTAATGGGCTCATTTAAAGTATTCAAATATGGTTAAACAATATTAGGTCTTAATGCATCAGTTTTAAGTATGGGTTTGTAATATGCAAATATCATTTTTGTAATATTCTTATTTTATGATGAGTGAAATGAAAATTACAAAAGTTTGTCGATATAAAAGGCGATTATGGTTTCCGAATCACAAAGTTGTTATTTTATTTTTTTTAAATCCTGTCGTTAGAAAAAACTAGTTTTAAAGCGCCATGTTGATTCGGAAGATCCTACTGTTAGACGCAAACAAATCTTCTGCGATGAATTTTGGTACACTTCTGTTTATATTTTTAATTAATTCAGCACGAGACTGTATGTGTAATTTTTACAGATTTATGAATTTGAAAAGAATTTTTATTCCAACAATTGGTATCAGAGCAATTTTTGGATTTTATTTTTATTTAGTTGAATTCATATATATATGCAAATATATATATATATGTATAAGGATTAGGAATATATATATGAATATCAGAAATATATATATGCAGAAAATTAAGAAATATATATATGTATATATATCAAGAAGTTTAGTATTATATATGTATATATATATTTTAAGGATATATATATATATATATGAAAGCAGAAAAATAAGAAGGAAGAGCAGTGGCTAACCGCCATTACATAAGGAAGAAAGTTTGGCGGTTATGCAACTACTTCGGCTACCGAATTTCGTGCGTAACAACTAGAAATTTTCAATTGTTACTATATCAATTAGGAATGTAGTCGTTACAAGCTACATGAGAAAAGAAGGAGGGAAAAAAAGTAAAGGGTTTCGGGTTTGTTGGGTTTTTAATTTTTGTGTTTTAAAATTAATTTATATGGGCTTGGTCCACAAAAAGAGAAGAAAAAGAAGAAAAGAAAGAAAACGAAGAAAAGAAGGAAAAAGGGAGAGGTCAATTTAGCTGGGCCAAAACCTAGGCTGGTCTGGGCTAGGTCAACTTGGCCCAGACCCAACCCAGCTCGAATCTGACGGATGTTGACCCGACCTAGTCAACTAGTTAATCTGTCAACAGTCAACAGTCAACAGTTGACTAGTCAACGATCAACACTTACTTTGACCGGTCAACAGTTAGCTTTTGAAAAAAAAAATATTTTTTAAGGATATTTTTGGTTATTTTGTAATTGATTGTCTTTCTAATTCAGTTTAAATTTGGTTTTAATTTTAAATTTTAATATTGATATGTGCATACACATATTGAAATAAATTAATTTACATAACATATCTTTAAGTGACCTCTTTTATGGATAATTTATTTATTTCATAATGTAAACAGTTGTATGAGTGTAATTTATATGAATATTAATCAGCCCAAAGGAAGGTTAATGTTTAATATTATTGCATTCTATTTTTGTGGTAATGAATACGTGACAGTTATTCAGTATAATATGTGAACTTTAAATCGGATTAAAACTTTATTGTTTGATGTGTTTCTACTGTCTGTATTTAATTACTATTACAGGATACCACTTACAAGTTAATATTCTATCCAAAGATAAAATGTTAATGGAGTGCTCGATATCTTGATATGAAAATATACCTTTATTTAAAATTCATTATTAAATTTTATGATTTACAATTTTATGTGAGTATTACTTACTTTGTTTTTGTATGTTCTTTGTTAAGTTCATTTTACTGCTGAAAATATCACCGCGAATATTGATTACATCCCAATGTTGAAAGTTACAGTCTTTTTTACACTTTATTTTGACTCTTGTTTCGATGAAATATAACGGAGAAGGAAATATAAAAGAGTACATCAAGAAGATGTATGATATTCAAGTTAAGCTTAGGGAACTCAGTCTAGATATATCAGAAAAAATGTTGGTGCACATTATTTTGATCTCTCTTCCTCCACAATTCAATAATTTTAAGGAGAAATACTACGGTCAGCAGGAATCGTGGACTCTCAATTAGTTAATTTCACACTGTGTTGAGGAAGAGGAAAAACTAAAGTTTGATCACACAAAGAGTGCTAAGTTAGCAGTAATTTCAAAGGATAAGAAGAATAAGAAAAAGAAAACAAATAAATCTATTGCAGCTCCAGTACAATAGAAGAAGCAATATAAGGTTCAGACTAAAAATGTTTGTTTCTTCTGTAAAACTCCGGGACACCAAAAGAAACAATGCACTAACTATCATGCGTGGCATACAAAAAAATGTATGCTTCTTAATTTTGTTTGTTCTTAGATTAATTTAACTTCTGTACTGATACACACCTGGTGGATAATTCTTGTGCCATAACTCACATCAATGTGTCTATGCAGGGTTACCTCTATTACCACCAGCCAAGTGATTGTGTCATATTCATTTATGTGGGTGATGACAAACAGTCGAGGTGGAAGCAATTGACAAATTTAAATTGTTGTTAAGGAACATAGTTTATTTGGATTTAGAAGATACTTTTATTATATCGTTGTTTAGACAAAATATGATTTCTGTTTCTGTATTGGACAAATTTGGTTATTCACATTCATTTAGAAATGAAAAACTTAGTCTTTTTCTTAATTTAAATCTGGTTAGTTTTGGTTCTTTATCAAAGAATGATAATTTTTATTTTTTTGATACAATTGCTTTTTATAATAAATTCTTACATGTTGGTACAATAAGTATAAAGAAAAAATTAACTAAGGAGAATTTCACTTCATTATGA